AGGAGCTAATGAACCTTATGCTGAATTTGTAGATAGGCTTATTCAAATAGCTACCAGAGTTTTTGGGAATACAGAACAAGCAATGCCATTAATAAAACAATTGGCTTCACCATTGCTTCCACTCATAGCAGCAGTGTTTAAAAATAGCTATTTTTCTATATTTTTCTAAAATTTTATAAGCTTTCTGATTTGTTTTTTTTTTTGTACTAGATATTGGGTTCAGGGACACTTTACTTCTAAGCTACATCCCCAGCCTTTATCTCACTAAGTTGATTAGGGTCTCACGGCTCAGGCTGGCCAGGAACTTGTGATCCTTCTGCTTCAGACTCCCAAGTCACTAGAATTATAGGCATGCACCCATCACACCTGGCCAAGCTTTCTGATTTTTACAAGCTGGTGCTCAAAGATGATACCGAAACATCTTGTTTAAATTTGCCTTTCCCTAATCACAAGTGAGGTTGAACATCTTAATTTGAGTATAGATTCATTTGCATTTCTTCTGTAAATTTCCTCTTTATATCTTTTTCACATTTTTTGGAGGTATTGGGGATTGAAACCAGAGGCATTCTTCCATGGAGCTGCACCCCCATCCTTTTTATTTGTTATTTTGAGGCAGGGCCTAAGTTGCCCAAGCTGGCCTTGACTTGCAATCCTCCTGCCTCATCTTTCTAAGGAGCTGGGATTATAAATGTGTCCCACCATGCACTGTGGTTCCTGTTCATATCTTTAGAGAAGTTCTCTTTTGGATTTTATGTCTTCTTTTATTGAGAAGTAGCAATTCTTTATGTAATATAGGTATTATTTAACTTTGTCACATAGATAGATACAGATGATATAGATATGGATAGGCATGTAGCAACACACCACTCAGTTTTACTTCTTCAGGAAAGAAGCTCTTATTCCTCCATATGCTAGAAGCATAGGTAGCTAACAGCTCTCATTTAAGTCTTTCTCTTGAACCTGCCCTCGCCAAAAAGAAGTTTCACCCAGGTCATGCTCCCTCCCTAGAAGCTGTCCACATCCGGTGACAGATCACTGTGGAGGCATAAATCTTTCCTCAATTTAAGGCAACTTAGCTCCAGGGCTCCCTGTGGAATAAGATCACCTAACCCTACCTCAGCCTCTAGAGCTGCTGGGATTACAGGCGTGCCCCACCATGCCCAGCCAGAGTCAGCTTCTTGCAGCCCATCAAAGTTGTGTTTCTTCTGCCTACATCCACTAAAGTATTTTTGAGTGAATGGTATGATACCCCCAAGATATTTTACAATATCCCACTCTTACCTCTTAAAAAATGTCATGGGGGAAATAGATGAGATGATGTTGACAACATGTTAATAATGTTGCAGCTGGACATTGGGTGCATGGGGATTCATGATACTATTTGCTCTATTTTTGTGTTCAAAAATTTTAATAGGGTTGAAGGTGTAGTTCAGTGGTAGGGGATTTATCTAGCATGGGTGAGACCCTGGGTTTGATCCCCAGCATCACAAAGAGAAACAGAGACAGAGAAAGAGAGAGATTTAATAATAATTTTTTTAAAGTTTACTTGAGCTAGGCACAGTGGCACACACTTGTAATCCCAGCAACTCGGGAGCCTGAGGCAGGAGGATCATGTGTGCAAAGCCCTAGCAAAGCCTTAAGAAGCTTAGGGAGACCCTGTCTCAAAAATTTAAAAATAAATAAATAAAAAAGACCAGAGATGTGGCTCAGTGGTTAAGCGCCTCTTGGTTCAATTCCTGATACCAAAAAAAGAAAAGAAAACAAAAAAAAAAAAAAACAACCTTTATCTTAAAAAATAAATAAAAGGCTACTTGATGTTGAAGAAAAAAAAAAATTTTTGTCACCAGATACTCTTGGAGGCTTTAGAGCTAGAGCCAATAAACATGGTTTCTAGGATCAACCAGCTGAAAGATTATTTACATCTCTCTTCCTCTTCTTGGTGATCTTCAGAACTTCAGTCAAGAAGCAGGTCACCTGGTCCACAGTATAGAAGAGTGAGGCCAGAAGGAAGAAGAGCTATGAATGTAGGGAAAGGGGTTATTGGGACTTGATTTTTCTGCAGCTACCATCTACCATCCTACCTCTGGTCTTACTCTGTGGTACAGTTTAGCAGTTGTGTTTTTTTTTTTTTTT